TATGTCCCAAAATGTCCCACATTAAGTCCCAATGTCCCAGGCCATGTCCCAAAAATGTCCCATGACAACACTGATCATAGGCTAATGATCTATTACTTCATTTCTTCATTAACTGATCTGGTTAATTTCGTAGATCACTTTTGCAGATTATTGTGTTATTAATTTTTGTAGATCAATTCACATGATGATCATTTGTAGATCATTTTATTGTGCCACATTTTCAATTCTTGAAGATCATTTGGGTTACAACACATATTTTGTTAAAAGTAATACTTAGATTTTTAAACTTGCATTATATCAAAATTTTTTTAAAATTTAAAAAATTTTAAATAAATGCATATTAATATTTTTGTGTAACTATATTATTTTTCCATTGCCTGTTCTACAAGTGTACAGCACACCCTTCATAAATGCACATTTATAATTGGTCACCAGAGGGATGCATTTATGGATGTGTTAATATATATTGAATGCTGATATATTTTGATAAAATTTTATATAAGGAAAGTTTTATCACGTTTTTATTTCTTTAATTGTTCAATCTTTATATTGATAATTTTTAAATTTTTCTTAAATAACAATTTAATACTTTCAAAAATGCCTATCACTATCGAATAGTCTGATAAAAAAATGCAATTTTTGATTGACTTAAGAAGGAAAAAGAATAATGATTACTAGAGAAAGTTCTGAAGATTGAAGTTGACTTTTTGGAATAAGATTGTAGTATCAATATAAAAAAGGTTTATAATTGCGTTTAATAGGTTACAAATTTAAAGGAATGGTCAGGGATTGTAAAGTAAGTAAAATACTAGTAAATAAAAGAAGAATAATATTATATTAAATTTATTTTATAACAATAATTTAATAATTTTAATTCTTTAGTTATTTGAATTATATGCTGAAAAAGCAGATGCATGTTGGAGAAGTTTTTGGGTAACAATTCAAAATCTCATTTTGAAAGAGATCAGATTGGAATAATAAAACTTTCCATTTGATATTTAATTAAAGAAAATTATTATTAAAATTTAATATTTATGTTATTTAGCGTCTCAAGTTCAAGAAAGAAGGCATGCGAGATTAGTCATCAGAAATCAAAATAAGAAATTTATTTAGTTTAATGTCAATATTATTTTAACATAAATTTAAATTTATATTTTTTAGATCACTAACTCCTCTTTCTAACAATTCCTCTCAATCTGAAATCTAAAATAACCTTCAATAATCTGCTTCTTACTTCCTTTTCTATTATTATCACTTCTTTTTCCAACTATCTTCATTCTTTTTTCATATTTCATATTTTAATTAGTCTTTCTTTCCTTTTTCTTTTCCATTATCTTCATTTATCCCTTTTTACTCAGTTTTTTTTATAATTTGTTTTCTGAATTCTGTTAAAATAAAAACCTGAATAAAGCTTACCACCTCTTTGTGATATTCAAGATCAACAGTTATAGATTAATCTATATCCAGCTAAGAGCAAGCATAACTTTGTAACTTTAATTTATTAGTTATTTATTATTTAAATTCGTTATAATGAGGTTCAACTGTATTATAAACAAAAAGAATCTTAGGATCAGTGATTATGTTAAATAATTGGTCTAAGAACAGTTTTATTCAATCTTAGTTGAAACCTAAAGGTAATGTTACAATCTTATTCATAAATTAATTATTTTATAGCTACATAATATGGACTGGTTTAGATTGATCTTCAGAATTAGGATTGAGGACTGTAAGAATCCAGTCTACAACTAGTCTTATTAGAACTGATCCAATCCTATATGTAACTATAAAATAAAAATAACTGCAGTTTGAGAATATACTTGAGCTTTAAGATGTCTGATAATGACAAAAATATAAATTATTACTTTAGAGAAATTAAAGCATAGTAATAGCAATTGAAACAAACACTACCTTAATCCTCATTTAAAAAATAAAAATATGATTCGATCCTAAACAGAGATTTATAAAGATTGGTGGAAATCGCTTGAAATCATTAAAAAAACAAATATTGAAGATTATGTTTGTGTATTATGCAATGATCTATTAGATATTATTGAAACTTTTAAAGGTAACTCAGTTCTTCAATGTTATAAGTAATGGTATAATACTTTCTATAATTGAACTTTAATCTTCAGTTAGTCGAGAGGGATTAGAAATTAGAAACAAGTATACTGCAACAGGAAAAAGTGCCTTTTTCTCTCATAAAAAATTAGAACTATTTTATAAAATTACAAATAAGCTTAACTAATCAGATGATATCAGAAAATCTAACCATGTCTTGAAAAAAGAAGAAATGACGATAAAGAAGGTAGTTATTAAGAAAGATATATAACTTCTCCTCTGCAAAAGAACATTGATGAGAATAACACATCAGATATACCAGACATATTAGATACATCAGAAGAGATTGATGATAGTGATTATCAGTCTTCAAATACTATTTATAACGATTCAAGAGATATTTCACTATCTTTGATTTCTATTATAGAAGAATATTATAAAAAAGATTCAATATCAAAATTTGAGTAGGTTTATCATGACATAATTTATTTTTCTTATTACTACACATGACTTATATCAATATGTCAATTTAATTTTGCATATAACTATATTTTTGACCTCACTGCAATATTAAAAAATTTATATCAGAACATTGGTCTAAACTTGTTGCTGATCATCCTGAAGTTGTTAATATGGAATATTATAAAGAATTAGACTTGATCTTTGATTACTTGTTTGAATAACAAAAAGGAAGGATATAGTATTATTTGATGACTTATTTACTTTATTTTTATTATTACCAAACTTCTTAAATTATATTTTTGTTTAAACGATAGAAATCAACTATTAAAATATTTAGTAAGCTTGCATTCAGTAGAAAATTTAAGAAATATTGAACCTTCTGGGTATAAGAAAGAATTTTCATATAATAGAAATAGCTAGAAAAAGATTTTATAGTAGATAGAGTGGGCTGTAAGACAATTATAAATAAATTACTTTATATTTCTCTTTTTTTGAGATGGCATATATTTATAAATAATATTTATTTTTTTATATAGTCTTAACACATTTGAATCCAAATAAAATTCTCTGATACAATATGATTGTCATGAAAGGGAATGTTGAAAGTTACTTTGTTCCTATCTTTTTAAAGTATTTTAGCATTTGATGAACATTTTTGGATATTATAGTTTATTATTACAAATGAGTTAAAATTTGTATTTTTAATTGTTATACTTTATTTCTTGATTATTTTGTTATTATAATAGGGAAAACTTACAATATAAGCTTCTTTGCAAAGATGTAATTACACTCCCTGAAGAAAGTATCCAGGCACGGCTTTTTGTGAATTGTAGCTTAATTATATTATGTTTTTAAATAAATTTTTATATAATTATAAAATGCATGTTCCTGTAAATCTATTAGCTACATTTTATTATTGTTTTGAATTAATTTATATAACGCGTTCATAAAAAAAATGAATTTGATTCTTTAACAATAT